TTGATACACAGACATTTATTATTTGTGTAATTGAGATAAAAATTTCACCCTTAAAATCTACGAAATAGTACTGTACCAAGAACATTTCTGAAATTTTTTTATGTTTAAAAAAAATGAAAATTTACAATCAATACAGTTTAGTCACACAGACACTAAAACTCTTTATTTTCTTGAACACAGACATTTACTATTTGTGTAATCTGAATCAAAATAGACATTTACTCTCTGTGAAAATATATTTCACAGACAACGAATGTCTGTAGCATCATTATTTATTCTCTTCCACAACTATTCAAAATTAGCGCAACCTTGTTCAATTTTTTTATTTAATAGATCCTCAAACACTTTTAAAAAACAAAAATCTTACAAAATAGCAAATATTCAATATCTATGCAACTTCATTGTAAAAATTCTATGAGATAGTTTCTCACAGACACCATATACCTGTGTGGTTCTTAAAATAATGAAATATCATTATTTCACAAAAATATTAAATCAAACTCCAAGAAGTCACAAATAAACATCTAAGACCAACAATAATCATAATAAGAAGTTTTTACACGGATTTGATTTGAACAAATCAAAAGATTGAGGTGTTGATGGTGACGGGGAAGGAGCAGACGACGACGGAGTTGATGCAGCACGGCGATGGGTAAGGTGGTGGTGGCAACCACAGGGAAGAGACCGCCGGCGGAGGAGATGACGCAGCCCAAGGAAATCGATGCATTTGGTCGAAGAAGAGACTGACGGTTGCTTCTCATCTCTAGTGGTCTATTTTGTGGTGGAAAAGAAAAAGGGGGGAGGGGGAGGGGGTATATGGGGTACAAGCTGGGTACACATGTGGTGTACCCTATCACATCCGTTTTTTTTAAGACAAACCAGGAAAGAAATCTTCGCGACAATTCGTTCAAAGTAAGAGAAGCTCCTTCCCAGGTCCAATATCAATTCGTTCTCTCATCTTCGCGACATCTTCTTTGCCGAAGGAAAGAAAACGATGGATGATTCAACCTGGATTCCTCGCTGCGTTAAGGAAAGAAATCACTGTAACAGGTACTGCGTTACAACCATCTATTTTCCCAATTCTAGGAAAACCCACAGTTCGAATTAGGTCTTCTTCTGTTCTTAGCGTCTTCTTCCCTAGGGCTATTGATCCTTCGCCAAATTCGAAAGGATTTTTGTTCTTCCGTCATGTTCCAGTGGCTGGGCTAAGCAAATTCCTAGCGGATGAAGGGAGACAACGCAGAGGAGGGAGTTACGATGCCCATCGCCGACGATGTTGACCGCGATAGGCAAGGGTTTTGACAGTAACATAGTCGACAATTAAATCCAGACAATATGATGATGATGATGCAACATAGGCGAACAGATTCAATGATACCACAAAATAATGACATCTCAATTTCTACAGGTAAGGCATATGTCCTCATTATAATGTCAATTCATCTCTGACTTATTCTCTCTCTATACTCGATTATATGAATTTAAACATGAATGGGAAGAATCTAATTCATACATCTCATTCTCTATTGTGCATACCAGTTTCTAAATCCACATAGAGAGAATGTTGTTCTCTGCTTCAGATCCAAACAAAAGATTGGTGGATCAGAATATTAGATTACTCTTGCATCGAAGTTCGAAAATCTAGAGGGAACTCTGTTAAGCCAGTAATCTTTTCCCTTCTTAAATTCAATGCTTTGAAGTTTGAATCAATTTTCTTAATGTATCCATAGATATGTTATTTCACTCACTTTCTAAGATTTCTTAGAGAAAATAGTTAATGGTCTATTGAATTTGGATGATTGAATTTATTTTTTGTTTCATTAAATAAAACTGGGGAGAGAGCAGGCTTATTGAAAAAGTAGATATTGATTAATTGGATTATGATGAAACCGCTCTCTTTCACTATGCGGAAGTTTTCATCACTCTTTGATGATAGAGTTCTTTCAAGGTAATTTTTTTTCATTTTTTCTATATATTGTCTTTTATGTAGCTTTGTAATTTCGAGATGATGAAAGTTGATTCTTTGATTATTCATATTAAGCAAACACATATACAGGTAATGTAATACACACAACACAAAATAGAATTATGCTCCATTTTCTAAAGCATCTAGATTGGTTATGTGTCATAGTCATATAAGATGAATATTGTTTTTCTTCGTTTCTCTTTAAGCTTATTTTGCATTTGCAAGTTTTAAATACTTTCTCTCTAACATTTCTTATTTTGACTTTAAGGAGAAGTCGTAAATGTTTGACAAAGGTGAAACGATGACAATTAAAAATATTAGGGTTTTGAGAAGTGTCAAAACATATACTGATAGGGGCGTATAAGGAAGTATGGGTACAAGAGGACACCTTTTTGTGAATGTCAGAGGACTCCCATTACAAAAACATAATGAAAATGCACAATGTTAACTAAAAACATTAAAGGAAACCATTTGAGCTTACTTGAGACCACTAAAACTAAATTCACCTCAGACAAACAAGCTGATGCATGCATATTTAAAATTTGTTGTATGATATGAGCCTATTGGCTTTGTAGTTTATAATTGTTGTATTTGATTCTCACTTCCGTATTTTCTGTTCTTTTTCCTTTTGTTTCTCATATACAAGGCCATATATGAGATAACATTTATGAACTCTTTCTTGATTTGAGAGATGATAAAAGGACATGACGTTTTATGGCTGCTATTTTTGGTACCATCTCTCTGTCTCTGCTCATTTCTCTTCATGATTTTTTATCATTAGTATTTAATATATTTGATTCCTGATATTTACCAAAACACGTCAATATGATAGAATTATTTGTAAGTGCACAATTACTTCATTACTCAAGGTATAGTCTGGCTCAAATTCTTTGTATGTATATTTCTTTCAAGTCACATGGATAATTTGAGAGTTTATGGTCTATTTCTGTGTATAAAAGTGTCGTATGTGATGTGGTTATCCTTTCCCTGTAGCAGATCTTTTCACTGGCAAGTGTGTCATCTTTAGTCGAAGGTGATTCTTCAGCACCTACTCTTGGCTTCTTCAGTTCTCCTCTTCAAACCCTTTCACTTCAATTTTTTTTGCTACAACTAGAGACATTTCAAAGTAGCATGAAGTCACATGAACCCTTTTAGTGGTAGGCTTGGGCCAACAGCCAAAGACGGTATTGAAGATTACATTTTGAAATGCTTATAAAAAGAATTACTTGCGGCTCTCTGATCTGATTTTCTGAGTGCTGGAAATGTGCTACTAGAGAAGTTTTTCACTTACATGCTGCTGTTTTTATGAAATATTTTTAAAGTAGAGTTCATTCAGTTCATAAGTGTTTTCCCATATTGAACATTTTTGTGGGGAAAGCAAAGATAAGGAAATTTAACTTTCATTTTTCATTTCTTTTGTGCACTAGCAATGTAGGGTTCAATTTCAGATGCTGCAGTCCGAATTTTTATCATGTGTTTTTTTAGTTGTGAAACAAATCTAAGTAATGAATTTTAAAGGGTTCATCATTTTAATAGTTGGATGTTAACATTGAATCTTCCAGGCTGTTAAGACTACATTAATTTGAAAATTGATTTTTCTCTCTTTTTGTTAGGATCCAAAGGAAAAGGCTAAACCAGAGACAAGAGATTGGTTGAATAATGTGGTATGGGCCTGATTATTATCTGACATTCTATTCAGTTACAATACTTTCTCTACACTGTCTACTTGGTACTTAACGGTGGTACACGAGTGTAACTTCAATTGCCTTCAAACCCTTACTTTAATGCTTTTCCAATGGAACTCAAACAAGATTTTAGTTCAGGCATAGTAAATTTCATATGCATGGCTACATTGGTAATTTGGTAATCTTTGAGCAGCTCCTTATTCTCTAAAAGAAAAATAGAATTAGATACAGACTGATCCAGTGAGCATGCCATTTTTTCATTATATATTTAGTATATTTTCTTTTTCGTTGCTGTGTGGTTACTCCCTCCGTCCCAAATTAAAATTCCATATTTGGCTGGACACAAATTTTAAGAAAGGTAAAATCGGGTGATTGAGACCTATGCGGGAGAGGCAGAAATAATGTAAACCACAGGTCCATTTATTTGAAAAGAAAGTGGAACCTTATTTTGGGACAAACAAAATAACAAATGTGGATCCTTTTTTTGGGGGACGGAATGAGTATTTGTTGTCTTGCCAAATAACCTTCCAGGCAATTGATTAAAGATGTTTGTCCCTTTTTATGCCTAGGTCGGCGAGCTAGAATATCAAATTGATATTTTTGAGGCAGAACTGGAAGGACTAACTGTTAAAAGGGAAAACAAGGATCCCAAGATTGGTAAAGAAAGGGAACATCTTAATACTGATGACATTATGAGTGGTTTGTCTCTCTTGGTGTTCATGTGAGATCTGTTTCACAGGTTCATTTGGAAGCATCCATTGTTCGACACAAGGCTCACATAACGAAGTTAAAATTGATCTTGACGTTACTGGGGATGAGTTGAGCCCAGAGCAAGTCAATGATGTTAAAGATTTTCTGGATGCTATGTAGAGCGCAATCAGGTTTGCTTTTTTCAATATAACCCCCCTCCCCCCAAATGAACTCATGTCATTTAAAGAGATCAAATACTACTATTGAATTCTTAAAATCTGCATATCATGGAAATTTTATCTCAAAATTAATATAGATTTTTTGTAGACTTCAGAGTTTGTTTTTATTGTTTTAATTACCCACACATAACAACACTAAATACTAGTCCGCTAAAAAGTTACTCTGTATATGTTAGCTGCATTATAACTAGATGTTTATTCATTCCGAAATCAGAATGCACTATCTTCTTTCTCCTCTAAGAATATCTTTCATCATTCGGATCTTAGGGTTCCCCGGCGACACTTGAACACGGTCAGCGGCAGGCCATATATTCCAGAGAGGGTTGGCGGTTCTGACGCAGCATCAATTAGAACCTCCAGCAATTGCTTCCGAATGGGCTTCTCGGTCTTCCCAAATTGACGGGCAGATCCTAGATAGACAACGCAGAGAAGGTATTCTTCAACACAATTCTCAGATTACATTCTTAAGTGAGTGGGTCTATTTTAATTTTTCTTTGAATTTCCTTACGTAGTTGTAAATGTTATTTGGGGTTTGCTTTTGAAATTGAAAAACTAAACACATCGTGTATGAATCACTGTTGAGGAGATGGTCGATCAACCTACCATTACAGATCATTGCCATCAGAGGTTTACATACACGGGTTTGGGAAATTTTGTATCTTCAATTTTTTCTCCTAACCTGCATATTCTCGAGAATTCTTTCATGGTCAAGGGTTGGAATTTCAGAGTTAGATGTTGGAATAAACTGGAAAGAGTTAGAAGAAACTATAAGGAGTTTGAAAATGTTGGAAGAATTTAAGGGTTAAAAAGTCACTTAATTAAATAATCATCCAAATAAATATGTAATAAAACTCTCATTTTGGATAAAAAAGAATTCATCATTATTGTGTTTGAGGTGGTATGTTATAAATTTAGATATATAATGTTATTGTATATCTATCGTATCTAAATACCTCTTTAAAGTCGTTGGAAGAAAATGGGAGTTGGAAGGAACTGATCAAGTAATAAGTAACAAGAATAAGTTTAAGAGAACAAACCTTTACTCTTCTTATATCTGGGCATCTCAAACCATAGAGTATAGTATTTTTTGACCCATTTTCATCCTTGATTCAGAGTTGAGGCTTAGACTTCAGATGTGTTTTGCCCTCTTTGCTGCATCTTCTGTCTCCTTGTTGTCCATGATTGAGGCTAATTTAGATGAGACAATATCAAGTTGAAAATCCTTATTCTTCTGGAGTAGACAAACTCCAATACAAGCTATTGCACCACAACCAGGCTACTTAGTCTCAGGTTTCTATTCTTTCTAGCTACATAGTTATGCCCGGAGTATATAATTTTTTATTGGCACATTGATATGTTTGAGAAGTTTATTCTGAATTTTGTTGAGAAGTTTTTTTTCTTTTGCAGTACAATGATACTCTAGCTTTAATTTCTGCAATCAAGGTGAAGGCTGTATCCTTAGTATATGCAACTCACCTGGCAATCGGGTCAATCGGATCGGTTCCGGTTTGGGTCTTTTCGGTTCGGGTCTCTTTCGGATATATGTTATAATCGGTTCGGGTCGGTTTGGTTCGGGTCAGTTCGGTTCCGGGTTTATTTCGGTTTGATTGGTTTTCGGTTTCGGTGTTTCGGTTCGGGTTTGTATGGGTTCGGGTTTCTATCGGTTCGGGTTTGTATCGGTTCGGGTTATATCAGTTCAGGTTTGTATCAATTCTGGTTGTATTGATTTGGGTTTATATAGATTTGAGTTTATATCGGTTTAAATTTATATTAGTTCAAGTATAATGTAAACACATACATACTAATAAATGAATAAATCACATAATAAATTTAGTTAATTTAGTTAACTATAATTTTTATATACTTTCTATAAAAATACAAAAGTATTTTAACTTAAGTTATAAAATGCAAAGTAAAAGATTTTTACATGAAAGTAGTTACATGGTTTGCACCCATAATTTAAATATGTTTTTATAGAAACACATCAACATATGTAAAAATATATAGGTAATTCGTTTTCTCCAAATTCATTTGATAAATGAAATATTAATGAATTTGATCAATTTCGGGTCTAATTGGGTTCGGGTCTAATCGGTTCCGGGTTTAACCGGGTTCGGGTTTAACCGGATTCGGGTTTAATCGGTTCGGGTTTAATCGGTTCGGGGTTAATCGGATTCGGGTCTGAATCGGGTCTGAATACATTCGGTTCGGGTTCGGTTCGGTTCGGATCATTTCGGGTGTTCGGTTCTATTTCAGTTCTTCAGTTTTCGGGTCAAATCGGGTTCGGTTCCGGGTTATTCGGTTCGGGTTATCAGGTCCGGGTCAGTTTTGCCAGGTCTATATGCAAGGTAAAGGCTGTGTTCTTCGTAGTATATGCTGTTTGTTGTCGAAATTTTGATTTTTATCAAAGCCAAGAGAAATTCAAAGTATAATGTTGGTACTAAAAAAAACAGTTCAATGCACAGCAAATTGCCATTAAAATTTTGAAGATGAAATAATTGTTTTAAGAGACCTAACACCTTTTTTTTGTGGTGCAGGTTTTGCCAACCACAGCTTTGAATGTATAAAAGACCAGATTTTTTTTTTGCCTATTTTCAACTTCTGCAGTACTTATGGACCATCATTTTAAAGCTCATTGCTCATCTTCTTCAATAATTTTTCATTTGTCAAATCTTATGAGTTATGATAGATGTATTTACTGCAGTTGCATGACTGTTTGTACTAAACAATTTGTAAATTTACTCTTTGACCCTATTAATCTGCATGAATTTTGGTATTGGGGGAAACATATAGCTAGCTGATAGGGTGTATCCCAATCAATGGCCTGCAAATATGCTTGAGAATTGAAAATTTTGTTTTGAGCTAAACTGATCTTTCTCTTATATTCTTTATTAATATTCTTTTACCTTTTTTAATAGCTGGAATGCATTGTGTGGATCCTCCAACAATGAATGATCTCGGTATGTTACTTTCTGTAAGTGCTTTTTCAACTTACCTTCATCGCTAGAAACCTTGCTCCATAGGTTATCCAAGGCTTACACACACACATGTATGTATGTATGTACGAAAAAAATTTATTTCATTTAATACAGATGAAAACAGAGGAAATGTCACACATAATAGCGCCCCTAACAGGACTAGGTAGTTGCTCGAAATTGGAATAAAAGGTCCAAGAATTATTGGTAAATGAAAATCTTGCGAGATTGTGGGCTGCTGTGTTGGCCTCCAGGTATATGTGATTCACTGTTCTGCCCGAATCTGTAATTGTGTGCTTGATATCCCGGCAGATTGTATTGGCATTTTCTTTTATTTTGAAAATCTTATTTTTTGAACCCATGTATAGGTTTATTGGTTGCCCCAAGAATCTACTTTTTTTTCACTCCAAAATGTGCTGCTCTGACTTCTCCCTCTTCCGGATCACAGTATGTATTCCATCTCTCAGTCCATGCGCCTAGAAATTTCCCTAGCACATTCCTGATTATTGCCGCTCACACCATGAATTCATCAGAGACGGCAACATCAGTTGTACCGGAGATTCCCCTCTAAGGAAACTCCATTGAAGTGCTTGGATTGCTCCCATCTTGATTGTGGGGATGGTGCCTCTGATGTAGTTGTGTTTTCCTTTACCTTTGACTGCAGTGAATTGGTAAGTTGATTTCAATATTTGGTGGATTAGCTGTCCTGCCATTCTTGATTCCTCATTGTAGATTTTTAGGTTTCACTCCTTCCAGATCTCATGGCAAATGATACCTGGGAGTGCAACAGCTAAGTTGTAGTCTTTAGAGGCAGTGTTGAGTTGCCTCTACCAGTGTAGTTGGTAGCTTCTTATTCCATGATTTGTTCCATTGAGAATGTTGATACCTCCAAATTTCTTTGTTGAATGCGCACTCACAAAGTGAGTGCCAAATGGTATCTTCATTGGACATGCACAGAAAGCAAACAGATGGGAGGTGAAATCCCATTTTGGTTAGTTTGTGTGGGTACGGAAGGAAGCCAAGGTATAGTTTCCCGAGAAAAGTGGAGATTTTAGGAATTGATGAGGGGACATTTCAGTGATTAAAACATTCTCTAATTTTTGTATGCATAGGTGTATATTCCTGATATCTTGAAGCACTTCAACAGGTCCACTGAGAAATTTGTTATAGATGCTCTGACTTCTCTTGAATGCAAGTTCTTGATATTCCCAAAGAATGGTTTGTACAAGCTTTTGTAAGCACTAGGCTTTAAAGGGAAGATTAGCTTCTTTAATATTATTCTTACTCAATTTCTCCTAGCGTTTCTAATTCCTATTACTGTATTACTGCTATTTTTGGCTCTTTGCTTCAAACATTTTCTAATGTTTCATGTTTTTCTATATTCTAAATTAGGAAACTCTATTTAAATTCATAAATTTAGTTTCTTATTTACAAATTAAGCACGAGAAAGTATCAGTCTACATTCAAGAGCGCGTTGTTTGATTTGGTTTGGAGGTCTACTCTTAAATCAACAACTTAACATTTAATACATATTATAAAGTTTCAAGTTTGAAGCTCATTCTTCAATGTACTTTTTACGTTCTAGATTTTTGGTGGGTAATGCTAGGTAGGAGGGCTCTATTCAAGGTAGACTTTATTTTACAAGCAACCACAATCTTTGGAGAAATTGAGGGTTGTGGAGCTCACTAGGGGTAATGCAAAAATATTGTGATATTTTTTGTTATTTTTGCTCAGTTTTGGCTCTCTTTCATCTCTACTTCTCCTTTGTTCATTTTTTATTATTTTCATATTCTAAGTAGGCATGCTTATTATTGTCATAGATGCAAAATGCATTTTCTCTATTGGGTTACACTAAGTAAATTAACATCATGTAAGTTTATTGCTATTCGAAAGACAAGCTACTGTACTCTAATGACTATATTCGTGATTAGTTGAGATTATGATTACTTTTACATTTAACTTTTCATCGTGATTAAGTTTCTCTATTATTCATATTCATTTGTATTCTCACAGGTTATCATTGCTGCGTATAGGATGGTTGAAAATCAATGGGAACATGTCAACACGATACACTCATGCACATGGTAAGACATTCACCTATCTCAAAGACATGAGTAAAAAGTGAGAAAAAATAGGTAGAAATACTTTGTTTAAATTTATTTAACTCAATTTGTCCTTTTATATTGCTGAAATACTTAGTTACTAATATGAAGTTACTGGCAACATTATCTTCAAATGTTAAAAGTTTAGTGATATTTTACATAGAACTATTTGTGGTTTCTTCATTGTTTCTTGCGGTATGGAGGTTTCATTATGCTTGAAACACTTTGAATGGGGTTGTCAATTCAATCTGCTTCAAATAATGTTATTTGTATTTACAAAAGGATACGAAAGCCATGTAACTCTTCCCTAAAGTTTGTTAAAGAACAGATTTATACTGGCAAAGAATATGTGTAAATGTGAACCCTCTAAGTAAAACGAGTACATGACTCCGTGTGTGATTTGAGAGAGCGTATGGAGAAGCTATTACACCTTGGGAGAAGCAAATACTCGATCGGTGTTTTTTTATAAAAGTATCTTCTAAGGGTTCGTTTGGTACACGGAATTGATAGATTTGGAATTGAATTGAAATTAAAATTTCATGGGATTCAATTCCATAGAATTGAATGAACTAATTCCAATTCATTTTTTGCACTACCAAACAGGGCACTAATTTCATTTTTATAGATGTTAGTTGCATTATAACTAGATGTTTATTCATTCTGAAATTAGAATGCACTATCTTCTTTCTCCTCTAAGAATAGCTTTCATCATTCGGATCCTAGGGTTCCCCAGCGACACTTGAACACGGTCAGCGACAGGCCATAGATTCCGGATAGGGTTGGCGGTTCTGACGCAGCATCAATTAGAACCTCCAGCAATTGCTTCCGGATGAGCTTCTGGGTCTTCCCAAATTGACGGGCAGATCCTAGATGGACAACGCAGAGAAGGTACTCTTCAACACAATCCTCAGATTACATTCTTAAGTGAGTGGGTCTATTTTAATTTTTGTTTGAATTTCCTTACGTAGTTGTAAATATTATTTGGGGTTTGTTTTTGAAAATGAAATACTAAACACATTGTCTAGGAATCGCTGTTGAGGAGATGGTCGATCAACCTACCATTACAGACCATTGCCATCAGAGGTTTACATACACGGGTTTGGGAAATTTTGTATCTTCAATTTTTTCTCCCAACCTGCATATTCTCGAGAATTCTTACATGGTCAAGGGTTGGAATTTCAGATTTAGATGTTGGAATAAACTGGAAAGAGTTAGAAGAAACTAGAAGGAGTTTGAAAATGTTGGAATAATTAAGTGTTAAAAAGTCACTTAATTAAATAATCATCCAAATAAATATGTAATAAAACTCTCATTTTGGAATAAAAAGAACTCATCATTATTGTGTTTGCAAATATGATTGAGAATTGAAAATTTATAACATACCACCTCAAACACAATAATGATGAATTCTTTTTATTCCAAAATGAGAATTTTATTACATATTTATTTGGATGATTGTTTAATTAAGTGACTTTTTAACACTTAAATTCTTCCAACATTTTCAAACTCCTTCTAGTTTCTTCTAACTCTTTCCAGTTTATTCTAACATCTAAATCTGAAATTCCAACCCTTGACCATGAAAGAATTCTCGAGAATATGCAGATTGGGAGAAAAAATTGAAGATACAAAATTTTCCAAACCCGTGTATGTAAACCTCTGATGGTAATCGTAGGTTGATCGACCATCTCCTCAACAGCAATTCCTAGACAATGTGTTGAGTTTTTCAATTTCAAAAGCAAACCCCAAATAATATTTACAACTAGAAAGGAAATTCAAACAAAAATTAAAATAGACCACTCACTTAAGAATGTAATCTGAGGATTGTGTTGAAGAGTACCTTCTCTGCGTTGTCCATCTAGGATCTGCCCGTCAATTTGGGAAGACCCAGAAGCCCATCCGGAAGCGGAAGCAATTGCTGGAGGTTCTAATTGATGCTGCGTCAGAACCGCCAACCCTCTCCGGAATCTAGGGCCTGTCGCTGACCGTGTTCAAGTGTCGCTGGGGAATCCTAGGATCCGAATGATGAAAGTTATTCTTAGAGGAGAAAGAAGATAGTGCATTCTAATTTCGGAATGAAATTAAAATTGAATCCCATGAAAAAATGAATTGGAATTAGTTAATTCAATTCTATGGAATTGAATCCCATGAAATTTTAATTCCAATTCAATTCTAAATCTATCAATTCCGTGTACCAAACAAACCCTTAGAAGATACTTTTATAAAAAACACCGATCGAGTATTTGCTTCTCCCAAGGTGTAATAGCTTCTCCATACGCTCTCTCAAATCACACACGGAGTCATGTACTCGTTTTATTTAGAGGGTTCACATTTTCACCTATTCTTTGCCAGTATAAATCTGTTCTTTAACAAACTTTAGGGAAGAGTCACATGGCTTTCGTATCCTTTTGTAAATACAAATAACATTGTTTGAAGCAGATTGAATTTACAACCCCATTCAAAGTGTTTCAAGCATAATGAAACCTCCATACCGCAAGAAACAATAAAGAAACCACAAATAGTTATAAATAAAATATCACAACTTTTAACATCTGAAGATAATGTTGCCAGTAACTTGATATTAGTAACTAAGTATTTCAGCAATATAAAAGGACAAATTGAGTTAAATAAATTTAAACAAAGTATTTCTACCTATTTTTTTCCACTTTTTACTCATGTCTTTGAGATAGGTGAATGTCTTACCAAGTGCATGAGTGTATCGTGTTGACATGTTCCCATTGATTTTCAACCATCCTATACGCAGCAACGATGACCTGTGAGAATACAAATGAATATGAATAATAGAGAAACTTAATCACGAATGATGAAAAGTTAAATGTAAAAGTAATCATAATCTCAACTAATCACGAATATAGTCATTAGAGTAAAGTAGCTTGTCTTTCTAATAGCAATAAACTTACATGATGTTAATTTACTTAGTGTAACCCAATAGAGAAAATGCATTTTGCATCTATGACAATAATAAGCATGCCTACTTAGAATATGAAAATAATAAAAAATGAACAAAGGAGAAGTAGAGATGAAAGAGAGCCAAAACTGAGCAAAAATAACAAAAAAAATTTCATGATATTTTTGCATTACCCCTTGTGAGCTCCACCTGCCTCAATTTCTCCAAAGATTGTGGTTGCTTGTAAAATAAAGTCTACCTTGAATAGAGCCCTCCTACCTAGCATTACCCCCCAAAAAATCTAGAACGTAAAAAGTACATTAAAGAATGAGCTTCAAACTTGAAACTTTATAATATGTATTGAATGTTAAGTTGTTGATTTAAGAGTAGACCTCCAAACCAAATCAAACAACGCGCTCTTGAATGTAGACTGATACTTTCTCGTGCTTAATTTGTAAATAAGAAACTAAATTTATGAATTTAAATAGAGTTTCCTAATTTAGAAAATAGAAAAACATGAAACATTAGAAAATATTTGAAGCAAAGAACCAAAAATAGCGGTAATACAGTAATAGGAATTAGAAACGCTAGGAGAAATTGAGTAAGAATAATATTACAGAAGCTAATCTTTCCTTTAAAGCCTAGTGCTTACAAAAGCTTGTACAAACCATTCTTTGGGAATATCAAGAACTTGCATTCAAGAGAAGTTAGAGCATCTATAACCAATTTCTCAGTGGACCTGTTGAAGTGCTCCAAGATATCAGGAATATACACCTATGCATACAAAAGTTAGGGAATGTTTGAATCACTGAAATGTACTAAGCTCATAAGTCATAACTTACTCCATCATCACAGTTCTTGAGCAAGTCTATCAAACACACCTGGTGCCTCTGTTCCGTTTGATGTTCTCGTCTCCATTGCATCAGTCTTTTGGCACTTTGCATGAAAATACAACATATCATCCTCCTCCACCTCCACACTCCACACCTAGTCAGGAGATTGATTTCCTTGCAAAAAGAGAAATCACCAGTTGAGATGATTATTATTATTATTATTATTATTATTATTATCAAGGTAACATGTAAATTATTATTACCCGTAATCAAACAAATACATCAATCTCAAATGCTTAACCATAATGATGGTTACGTGCATAGGAAACAGTTTCAAACCTAGACTATATCAAATAACTACATCAAATAAATAATTGCAACTCAAAACCAAAACATACAATAGAGTTCAATAGCATGCCAAATAGTAAGAAAAGAAGTCTGGCGTCCACAAAATCCATTCAGCAAGCATCACCAGCAATAAGAGGTACCAACCCATTTCCCAAATGTGCAAAAGAGCTCCCATTCTTTTGATAGGGAGTAATTCAAAATGTTTCGTATCAAAACGCAGAAAGACTTCCAAAGCAAACCATTATCAATACAAGTCCAAGCAATAATAGTCTAGGTAGGAGCATCTCCAACCCACCATTCAAATGCTATAATATAAACGATATAGCTTCTACTATTCATAAAATGCATCTCCAATGGAAGATCTATAAAATAGACTCCATGCTATATTTGATTGAGCATCATCTATATATAAATGATACTGTAGCATTATCTAAAAAGATTGGGCGTGCTTTAGCCATAGATGAACCTAGGGATTGAAACCAAATAATAAAAAATAGTTAATACGTACAGATTTAGCTTTTATGGTTGGAGCAAATACTTAAATTTAGATTGTCAAATTATTGCAGATTGGCTACTTTAGCTTTTAGCTCACATCTCCCGTTGGAGATCCTCTAAAACACAATAACCATCTTCAAGTTTAAGCAAAAGGCATCGATGTATTTGTAGGATACAATCAAACCTTCATTCCACAACAGCCCCGTTGTGAGGAACATGTCCAGAATCTAACGGCAGCAGCATATCCATCGTCATGTCCAAGCTCCAAGGCAGCCCCACTCTAATTTTGAAATCCAATTGCAGCCCCCAGCCCCCAACATAGGAGTCCAGCAGTAGCAGCCCCATTCTCCATGTAGAAGTAGGTGCGGCAGCCCCATTCACAAAGCAGCAGCGGGTCAGGAGGTCTTCCAAGGCCAATGCTGATGGATATACCAGCACCTCTGTCCAGCAGCCCCGTCCAGTTTCCCCCATTTCTAAAGCAGCAGCAAGTCGTTGAGAGCCCCCTGTCCAGCAGCTTTCCAGCAATTTCCATGAATTTCCAGCGCCAAGGTCCAACCATGAGTGCAGCTCCGGTCCAACATCCATCTGTCCAGCAAGAATTTCCAGTGTCAAGGTCCAGCCATGAGTGTCCAGTATCTCCATGTCCATATCCAGCAAGACCAGGTATCCAGCAACATTCCACAGCAGCAAGAATCCAGCAGAGGTGTTATCGTCTCTCACCTTGTTCCGTCAGAAGCCTTGTTGCCCTAGTCGCTTTGCCTTCTCCTGTCGATATAATCGAAGAGAAAAGCGTAGCTCACGATTAAAATAGAACTGTTGAAGCAAAATATCAATCTATATATAAGACATTTTTTGAGGTAAAAAGGAAAAAAACCATCTTCAATGACATACTCAGAGAAGCTCAATTAATCCAAAGTATGTCAATATTTCATAATAAGTTTATACTACGTATAAAATAAGATGATTTTTGAAAACATACCTCCGCGAAAATGAATAGAAATATCCAAGCAAAATGCTAAAACCTTGAAGCCCTGTCATAAAATTGAACAAAGGTAAAATCTTAAGAAGTTAAAAAACCATTAATTACAATGCTCGGGTGCGTGAAGGGTGCCTGTGCAATATGCAGGGGAACACCCCTCGTCTCACGTTACTTCCAGATGTATTTCATAGCAGGGATGGGAGGGTTATGGAGTCTTAGGTTCTTGACTGCCTCCTTGATGCTGAAGTCAAAATATCCGGTGTTCCATCTCACTCTTTGGTTGTCTGTTATGTGTAAGACATTGCTAGTACTCTCATTAATGGAGCATAGTCTCCTCCAAGTTGGAGAGTCTATTGCTTTTGGTTGAATCTCCAATCCTCTAGGGTATCTGATTCTCATTTAATTAGCCCATAAGGAGTCATTGAGTTGGTATTTCCACCACAATTTTGGCCCAAATGCTTACTGGGGAGTGTCTAGGCTAGTCAGACCGAGTCCTCCTTCTTTGGGATAACAAACCTTATCCCAGTCTGCCCAATCCCCCCCCCCCCCCTAGAGAAAGTTTGACATTTTCGTATGGAGATCTTTAATAATGCTTTTAGGAAGGTTTGTGGCCCCCATTGTGTGAATAGGGATGGAGTTGAGAACATGTCTCATTAGGGTGACTCTGCCACTTTGATTTAGGAAGGATTTATCCCATGCAGACATTTGTCAACAAAATGTTGTAGTAGTTCACTGCAGAATTTCTTCCTGTTTACCCCACTATGGATCTGCACCCGAAAACATTTAAGTGGAAGAGAGTCCCTTTGCATGCCCAGGATTTTTTGTTGCCTGGAGGATATATGATTAGGGGCTTTGGTAGGGGTGTAGAAGTGGCATTTCTTTATGTTCATTTTTTGGCCTGATATCTCTTCACAGTGTTTGAGCAAGTTAGAGAACCTGATAAGGTTTTGGGTTCCCCCCTTTAGGTAGATGATCAGGTCATCAGCATATGCCAGATGGGTGATGAGCATATGGTGTCTGCCCATTTTGTATGGAGATAGGTTACCAGAGTTAATGTCCGGATTAAGGGTCCTGCTGAAAGCCTTCTGAAGCCAGGTTAAAGAGGAGGGGGGGGGGGGAGGGGGTCTCCCTGTTTTAGTCCCCTTCCAGTGTGAAAAGGTTTAGACAAGTTTCCATTGACAGAGATGGAGAGGTTTGTAGCCTTTAGTTGGTTCAATATGAGAGTTTGGAACTCCTCACTGAAACCAAACTTCTGCATGATTTGCCCCAGGTAGCACCAAGAAACTCTATCAAATGCTTTGGACATATTCAATTTGAGAATTAGGTTTTCCCCCTTTGGTGTTGTAGTTTAGCCTATGCAGCATCTCTTGATTTAACGAGACCTGGTCATTGATAGTTCTACCTTGAACAAAGCCACCTTGCTCTTTTGATATCAGTTTTGGCAAGATTGTCCCTAGTCTTTCTGCCATAATTTTAAAGATAATCTTGGCTGTAAAAATTGGACAGGAATATTGGCCTGAAATCTTCAGTGTGAAGGATTCTCTTTTTTAGGAATTAGGATGATGATGGCTTTAGCCATCTGCTTAGGCATAGGGATTCCCAAGAAGAATTCTTGGCATGCTTTGGTGACATCTTCTTTGATCCACTTCCAACAGGTTTTAAAGAATTCTCCATTGAACCCATCAGGGCCTGCTGCACTGTCGGACTTAAGTGACCAAACTGCATTTTTTTACCTCTGCTTCATCAGGGCATTTTGTGAGGTCATGGCTGTCTTCCTGGGTGATGAGGGTGGGATTGAATTGGTGAATTTAATTCCTGGGCTGGTGGGGGTGTTTTCAAAGAGTTTTGAAGTGGTTGTAGAAGGCTGCCATGGTTGCCTCCTGACTGGTTGTCCAAACTCCAGTTTGGTCCTTAATTTTAGTGATAGATTGAAATTGTCTTCTCTGTTTGACTTTAGAATAAAAGAATGCAGTGTTGCAGTCCCCTTCCTTTATCCATTTTAGATTTGCTTTTTGTTTCCAGTAGGAGTATTCATTCTTAGATGCCATGATGAGCTTTGCTTTTATTTCATTCATACTTGTTCTGTTGTCAGGTGTGGGATGATGATCCATTAATGCTTCAGCTTCTTTAAGGTTATCTTCCAGCACCTTCACTTGTGAGAAAATGTTGCCAAAGGTGAGTTGGTTCCAATTGCACAGAGTACTTTGAACTCTTGCTTTTAATGGTCATTTATTTTAAAATACTATTTCCGGCATAAATTGATTTACATTGTTAAAAGAACGTTACTTCAACCAAAAAAAGAACATTACTTTGTTATTGCTTTGTCGAGTTAGTGTTATAATTTCTTTAGTGCTTTTAAAACCGAACTGAATAACCATTAGGTTTACATTTTTTTGGTGCGAAACCGAAGAGCTAACTTTATTTTGTATGGAATATTTGGTTTTGGGCGGAAACCGAACCCACCCTAGGCGTAGGGTGGAATACAATGCACAGGAAAAAATTGCGGGAAAGGGAGCTATGCAATGGGTTCGTTTTGTTCAAGATCTGCAGTTTGGTAGTTGCATTTAGATGATTTTTGCCACTACGTTCTGACTCTCTGCACTATGCAAGGGTTTGCTTGCTGAAGGCTTGTGTTGAGATACTGGGCTTGTGTTGAGATACAGCGTATGATGTTTTTTTAGAGTTTCTTCTATTTTGTTTGTATTCTGTAAGTATTTGATTTGGCATATCTGCTAATGAATAACTAAAACTTAAAAAGTTGTTTTTGTTCCTTGCAAAAGCCCATCATTAAAAACAAACCAGCTGCTCAACAGCTCAACACAAGTATAGCACACAAAAAACATCCTTCACAGTATCTCAGCACAACTATTCACCAAACCAGCTGCTCACCACAAGTATTTATTTAAGAGAACAGTGTTCAATATTAGGTAAATTCAGTATATGCTCCATATATTTTTCAACGCAACATCCTCCAGCCATTCACTCTGAATACCCAACGTCCATCTCTATACTCCAGCCCACACATGCCGTATAAATGTACCATGCTCTCAATGTGCTGAAAAGCATACGAGTTTAGTACCCCACCACAAAGAACTTGTCTGTTATTATTTTGGGGGTCAAGAAGAACCACACCTTCCTCAGTTTGAACAAGAATCTGACCATATGCAAAAGTCTGAATAGGTTTGTTAATATGCACTCCAATTGGACCTAAAGTCAAAGTGGTCTTCCACCTTCTGGACTCTTCATCATACATTGTCATTGTCATTTTATCTTCTTCCACAGAGATAATCGCAAGGCATGATATCCATTCAACGAGTTGCCCTATAGTCAGCTCCGGGAGAGGAATTTGTTCAAAACGGTCTTCTTTCACATTGTAGCGAAGAAGCAGATTACTATCATCATTTGAGTTGCCAATCCAATATGGAACACCCCCAACAATTACTTCATTCCTCCCCTTGTGAGGATAAAAAGCCAAATCAAACATCGACTCTGTCCAAGAGTTCGTGAGCGAAGAGTAAACCTCCCAATATGTCTCATGTTTATCCTTAAGTTTCACCCCAACAATCCATACAACTACATAGTTCCGTGTGGTCGAATCAAACCCAAATCCTAATGATGTATGGTAAGTTATGTACAATCTCCAATCAAAACTTTTATTACGAATTCCAAGATCTTTTACCCTTTGAGTTGCTGGATTTTAGATCCATAGTGAGCAATGAAATCAGCCCAAATCAAGTAACGGCTCTCGTTGTCGCTCTTTAAAAAATCAACAACGGGAATAAGCCTCTGGGCAATTGAGGTCGGGACAAGAGGGGAAAAGGGGGGGGGGAACGAACCAGAGAGCTCCATTCTTCAAATTCTTCATCTTCTTCTATAGGTACCCAAATAAATTGGCTTCCGGACTTAATCCGGAAGTCAATCCTTTAATTTTTCAATTCTTTTGTTATTTCTATGTTCAAGTGTTGTTTTTTTCCAATATATCAATTTTTTTGTTACTTGTTCATGTAAAAAATCTTAAAAAATAATGGTTGGTGTTCTTTTGGGTGTATGTTCTTGTTTTAAATGTTTATATATAATCCCTTATGAATGAGAATTGATTCATTCTTATTTACTTCAATTATTGCACAAGTTGTCGTTGAATTGGTTGAATTCTTTCGAATTCATAAGTAGGTTGTTATGTAGAATTTGGTTTTTGTTGAAGCTATTTTAGCTCCATAAGAAAGTTAAATAAACTCCGAATTCATACGTGTTTCTTTTTTGTGCTTGTGTTCGTTGATTTTAAGGAATTTGGACTTCTTAGCCCCATAAGTCGATTCATTTTCCTTAGAATTTGTTATAGAGTGATTTTGTTATGTTATGTGTTTGTTTTCCATTTTCTTTAAATTGAGATTGTTTAAGTACAATAAACAATTCTTGATTTATTGAAAATACATTTTGTTCTTCTATGTGAATAGAAAAAACGTCATTGGTTTGAGGAGTTCATGGAAATCTGTTAAATGTGCTCATCATTAGGACAAAAATTTTATTAAAATACATAAGGTATTGGCAATTTGTGACTAGATTATGTATGAGAGTTGAATGCGTAATATATTCTCTCTTTTATAAACTTTTTCTATAGTGGAAGTTTGTTTTCATGCTTCAATAGAGAGCTGGGGTTCAAAAGTATATTTCAAAACGGGCTTTTGAATTGCATGACTCCAGGCCGTGTGGAGAGTTGACAATCCTCCATATCGTGGTTAAGGAAATGAATCGACTCAGCCTTTGATTGATTTTTTCTATTCCTAAGTGCGTAATTTACGTAATATATTGTCTACGTGCCTATTATACGTGTAATGTTCGATTTGTGTTCATTTTTTTAAAATTTTGTTTCGGGTTCTTGGTGGTGTTTCTCAGGTTACCTTGGTTGAGGAAGTTGATTATCTTTTGAGCTTGTTTTCCCCCATTTTATCAAAAAAAAAAAAAGAACATATAAAAACCAAAAATATTTACTTTTTATTCAACCCCCCCCTTATTTTATTTCGTTACAACGTGTTTGCATTCTAAATTGGTTTTAAAAAGTACAACATTTCTCCGTGGGATCGACCCTTACTTGCCCGTTCTTACTTGATTATATTTTTGGGGGTTAGCTAAGGAGTATATTATAAATTTTTAATTTGTTTTGGACCGCACGACGGGTCTTCTACAAATTTTGGCTCCGTTGCCGGGGAATTGTTTTGTAAAAAGTAAAAAATCAGTTTTGTATGTATGTGTGTTCTTGTAAGTATGATGTAAATAATTTTTCTTTTAACTATTTTTAACTTTTCGGTATCTTATATTGAGTAAATATGTGATTTATTAGAGAGCTAGGATAAACTATTTTTTTTAAAAAAAAACATGTATGTTGTTGTCAATTGTTGTATTTTATGCTTGTCTTGTTTTTTTCTCTACTGTTCATATATGTTATATTGAAATTGCATAGGTGTTGTATCCTAGTATGTACAGCTTGTGTATAATCATTTTGTATGTCTTAGTGGCTGATTTTCTTATAAAAAAACTGATGTGTTACTTGCTGATTTTTCTCAAAATCTGCACTTTTAGCTTTTTTTTTCATGCTGTTTTTGCCTCTTAGAATGCTCCTTTGCTAAGAATATGCACTATCATTGATATATCTATCTTAAGGACAATTTTTAGATGTAATACATGATGTTCAGGGTCAAATTTGTGAGGTTTAAGTGCAGTTTTTCTGGAAAAATCCGATTTGAAGGTGCTGTTTTTTTTTTGAAATAAAAATCTGCAGTTTTTCCTTTCTTTGTTATGCAATTCTTATGTTCCTAAGATGCCTTATTACTGAAAGTTGAACTCCATTGGCTTAAATACAAGCATAGGAACTAATTTGGATGTACACAGGATGTTTTGTGACTTGTTTTTTGATCCATATATGCTGATATATGTTCTGAAAGTGTTAAAATGGTTAAAAATCTGATTCTGGAGTTTTATTTTTAAGCTTAATTTTTCACAAAGAATCTGATTTTTTTTCCTTATTTAAGAATTTAAGTGCTTCTCTTTGAATATAATTGTCTTGTTTCCTTTCTTTAAAGTGTTTTAAAGAAACACTGATACTGCATTGTTTTCAACTTGTGCAGCTTGTGTTTATGCGATTAAGAAGTGGTAAAGTAATTGGTGAAGAAAGCGGAAGTGAAACAGGTAGTAATAGCGACCAGGTAAGTGAGGCTGAACCCTCTTTTAATTTGGATAATCTTGTGGAACTGTTTGGGTCTGCTCTTACCATATCTGAAATTACACCTGTGAGTGTATGCGTGCAAAACATAAGTGAACCTGATTTTAAAGAACCAACCATTTATAATCAAGCTAGTTCTAAGATGGCAGCCCCTAACCGTACTCTTAGAGAATTTGCTGCACCTGACTTGACTCTGCCACTTTGATTTAGGAAGGATTTATCCCATCCAGACATTTGTCAACAAAATGTTGAAGTAGTTCACTGCAGAATTGCTTCCTGTTTACCTCTCTATGGATCTGCACCCCAAAACATTTAAGTGGAAGAGAGTCCCTTTGCATGCCCAGGATTTTTTGTTGCCTGGAGGATATATGATTAGGGGCTTTGGTAGGGGTGTAGAAGTGGCATTTCTTTACATTCATCTTTTTGCCTGATATCTCTTCACAGTGTTTGAGCAAGTTAGAGAACCTGATAAGGTTTTGGGTTCCCCCCTTTAGGTAGATGATCAGGTCATCAGCATATGCCAGATGGGTGATGAGCATATGGTGTCTACCCATTTTGTATGGAGATAGGTTACCAGAGTTAATGTCCAGATTAAGGGTCCTGCTGAAAGCCTTCTGAAGCCAGGTTAAAGAGGAGGGGGGAGAGGGGGTCTCCCTGTTTTAGTCCCCTTCCAGTGTGAAAAGGTTTAGACAAGTTTCCATTGACAGAGATGGAGAGGTTTGTAGCCTTTAGTTGGTTCAATATGAGAGTTTGGAACTCCTCACTGAAACCAAACTTCTGCATGATTTGCCCCAGGTAGCACCAAGAAACTCTATCAAATGCTTTGGACATATCCAATTTGAGAATTAGGTTTCCCCCCTTTGGTGTTGTAGTTTAGCCTATGCAGCATCTCTTGATTTAACGAGACCTGGTCATTGATAGTTCTACCTTGAACAAAGCCACCTTGCTCTTTTGATATCAGTTTTGGCAAGATTGTCCCTAGTCTCTCTGCCATAATTTTAAAGATAATCTTGGCTGTAAAAATTGGACAGGAATATTGGCCTGAAATCTTCAGTGTGAAGGATTCTCTTTTTTAGGAATTAGGATGATGATGGCTTTAGCCATCTGCTTAGGCATAGGGATTCCCAAGAAGAATTCTTGGCATGCTTTGGTGACATCTTCTTTGATCCACTTCCAACAGGTTTTAAAGAATTCTCATTCATACTTGTTTTGTTGTCAGGTGTGGGATGATGATCCATTAATGCTTCAGCTTCTTTAAGGTTATCTTCCAGCACCTTCACTTGTGAGAAAATGTTGCCAAAGGTGAGTTGGTTCCAATTGCACAGAGTACTTTGAACTCTTGCTTTTAATGGTCATTTATTTTAAAATACTATTTCCGGCATAAAGTGATTTACATTGTTAAAAGAACAATACTTCAACCAAAAAAAGAACATTAATTTTTTATAGCTTCGTCGAGTTAGTGTTATAATTTCTTTAGTGCTTTTAAAACCGAACTAAATAACCATTAGGTTTACATTTTTTTGGTGCGAAACCGAAGAGCAAACTTTATGAGAAAGGGAGCTATGCAATGGGTTCGTTTTGTTCAAGATCTGCAGTTTGGTAGTTGCATTTTGATGATTTTCCACTACGTTCTGACTCTCTGCACTATGCAAGGGTTTGCTTGCTGAAGGCTTGTGTTGAGATACTGCGTATGATGTTTTTTTAGAGTTTCTTCTATTTTGTTTGTATTCTGTAAGTATTTGATTTGGCATATCTGCTAATGAATAACTAAAACTTAAAAAGTTGTTTTTGTTCCTTGCAAAAGCCCATCATTAAAAACAAACCAGCTGCTCAACACAAGTATAGCACACAAAAAACATCCTTCACAGTATCTCAGCACAACTATTCACCAAACCAGCTGCTCACCACAAGTATTTATTTAAGAGAACAGTGTTCAATATTAGGTAAATTCAGTATATGCTCCATATATCTTTCAACGCAACATCCTCCAGCCATTCACTCTGAATACCCAACGTCCATCTCTATACTCCAGCCCTCACATGCCGTCTAAATGTACCATGCTCTCAATGTGCTGAAAAGCATACGAGTTTAGTACCCCACCACAAAGAACTTGTCTGTTATTATTTTGGGGGTCAAGAAGAACCACACCTTCCTCAGTTTGAACAAGTTTGAACAAGAATCTGACCATATGCAAAAGTCTGAAGAGGTTTGTTAATATGCACTGCAATTGGACCTAAAGTCAAGGTGGTCTTCCACCCTCTGGACTCTTCATCATACATTGTCATTGTCATTTTATCTTCTTCCACAGAGATAATCGCAAGGCATGATATCCATTCAACGAGTTGCCCTATAGTCAGCTCCGGGAGAGGAATTTGTTCAAAACGGTCTTCTTTCAAATTGTGGCAAAGAAGCAGATTACTATCGTCATTTAAGTTGTCAATCCAATATGGAACACCCCCAACAATTACTTCATTCCTCCCTTTGTGAGGATAAAAAGCCAAATCAAACATCGACTCTGTCCAAGAGTTCGTGAGCGAAGAGTAAACCTCCCAATATGTCTCATGTTTATCCTTATGTTTCACCCCAACAATCCATACAACTACATAGTTCCGTGTGGTCGAATCAAACCCAAATCCTAATGATGTATGATAACTTATGTACAAAATCCAATCAAAACTTTTATTACGAATTCTAAGATCTTTTACCCTTTGAGTTGCTGGATTCGAGATCCATAGTGAGCAGGCTGTAGCATATGAAGCAGCCACACAAACGAGTGAGGGGGGCAGATTTTTCGTACAGTCGGATTAGTAAATGGTCTTGTTTGTGTGGCTGCTTCATATGCTACAGCCTGCTCACTATGGATCTGGAATCCAGCAACTCAAAGGGTAAAAGATCTTGGAATTTGTAATAAAAGTTTTGATTGGAGATTGTACATGACTTACCATATTGATAAGTTGGGTTTGGGTTAGTATTTTTTATTCTTTTTTTGGTATTTGTAGTATTTTTATTGTTTAATTTTCATTTGTTTTGCTTAGTTTTATTTTAATTGCTATTTTTACAAACCTTTTAATTTTCATTCAAAAATAGTAATTTTTAATCTTCTTTTTACATTTTATTAGTTTATTTTCTCTAACCCAAATTACCAGATATCTTGTTTTTAGAGAAAAGTGTAGCATACGTGTAATGTTCGATTTGTGTTTGTTTTTTTTTAATTTTGTTTCGGGTTCTTGGCGGTGTTTTTCAGGTTACCTTGGTTGAGGAAGTTGATTATCTTTTGAGCTTGTTTTCTCCCATTTTATCAAAAAAATCAAAAAAAATAAGAAAATATAAAAACCAAAAATACAGTATTTACTTTTTATTCAACCCCCCCCCCCCTTTGTGTTGATTATCTTATAAGTGTTTGTTTATAAGTTATAAATATAAGTTCTTATACTTTATCTACTTTTATATTATTAAGTATTTGTTATGAGTTTATAAGTTACTACCTCCGTCCCACTGTCTTTGTCCACATTTGACTTTTGGAACTGTTCATCTAAGCACTTTGACTCATCAAATTCTCTCAATGTGTAAGCCTAAAAATAGTCATGTGTGATCTTGTTTGATTCGTATTAACATATAGATTATTAATATATAATTTCTATAATTTTTTAATATACAAATTACAAGATAAAATGGATTAAATAAGTGCATTGGATGGTGTGCCAAAAGGTAAGTGGACAAAGACAGTGGGACGGAGGGAGTATTATAAGTTCTTTGTTTATATAAGTTATATTTATGAGTTTTTATATTTATTTTATTATAAGATTTAGTCTTATCACATGTGTAGTAGTTTTTTTTATTTTATTTCGTGACAACGTGTTTGCATACTAGATTGGTTTTAAAAAGTACAACATTTTTTCGTGGGATCAACCTTTACTCGCCCTAGCTATAGTTCTTATTTGATTATATTTTTGGGGGTTAACTAAGGAGTATATATTATAAATTTTTAATTTGTTTTGGATCGCACGACGGGTCTTCAACACATACATCATTAGGATTTGGGTTTGATTCGACCACACGGAACTATGTAGTTGTATGGATTGTTGGGGTGAAACTTAAGGATAAACATGAGACATATTGGGAGGTTTACTCTTCGCTCACGGACTCTTGGACAGAGTCGATGTTTGATTTGGCTTTTTATCCTCACAAAGGGAGGAATGAAGTAATTGTTGGGGGTGTTCCATATTGGATTGGCAACTTAAATGACGATAGTAATCTGCTTCTTCGCTACAATGTGAAAGAAGACCGTTTTGAACAAATTCCACTCTCAGAGCTTACTATTTGGCAACTCGTTGAATGGAAATCATGCCTTGCGATTATCTCTGTGGAAGAAGATAAAATGACAATGACAATGTATGATGAAGAGTCCAGAGGGTGGAAGACCACTTTGACTTTAGGTCTAATTGCAGTGCATATTAACAGACCTATTCAGACTTTTGCATATGGTCAGATTCTTGTTCAAACTGAGAAAGGTGTGGTTCTTCTTGACCCCCAAAATAATAACAGACAAGTTCTTTGTGGCGGGGTACTAAACTCGTATGCTTTTCAGCACATTGAGAGCATGGTACATTTAGACGGCATGCGTGGGCTGGAGTGTAGAGATGGACGTTGGGTAGGAGGATGTTGCGTTGAAAGATATATGGAGCATATACTGAATTTACCTAATATTGAACACTGTTCTCTTAAATAAATACTTGTGGTGAGCAGCTAGTTTGGTGAATAGTTGTGCTGAGATACTGGGAAGGATGTTTTTTTGTGTGCTATACTTGTGTTGAGCAGCTGGTTTGTTTTTAATGATGGGCTTTTGCAAGGAACAAAAACAACTTTTTAAGTTTTAGTTATTCATTAGCAGATATGCCAAATCAAATACTTACAGAACACAAACAAAAGAGAAGAAACTCTTAAAAAAAAACATTATACGCAGTATCTTAACACAAGCCGAGTATCTCAACACAAGCCTTCAGCAAGCAAACCCTTGCATAGTGCAGAGAGTCAGAATGTAGTGGCAAAAATCATCTAAATGCAACTACCAAAGTGCAAATCTTGAGCGAAATGAACCCATTGCATAGCTCCCTTTCCCGCAATTTTTTCCTGTGCATTGTATTCCACCCTATGCCTAGGGTGGGTTCGGTTTCCGCCCAAAACCAAATATTCCATACAAAATAAAGTTAGCTCTTTGGTTTCGCACCAAAAATATGTAAACCTCTTGGTTATTCAGTTCGGTTTTAAGAGCACTAAAGAAATTATAACACTAACTCGACGAAGCATTAACAAAGTAATGTTCTTTTTTTGGTCGAAGTAATGTTCTTTTAACAATGTAAATCAATTTATGCCGGAAGTAGTATTTTAAAAAAAATGACCATTAAAAGCAAGAGTAACTTATTTTTATTAAAAAAAAATTAGACCTAATAAAAGTGAGAGTGAGTTAATATTGTTTAAATATAGAGTTATATGAAATATGGGTTGATTGTATTAAAAAAAATAGAGAATGGGAAATAGAAAAAAAAATACACGGATTAACCGTAAAGTTAACGGAAAGAGTGCAACGTTGTCGTTATTTGAAAGACTATTTATGGACTTTTTAAAGTTGAAGGACTAATTGTTCATATTACATTAATTGCTCGAAGTAGGGGTGTTCAAAAATATCCGATCCAAAATATCCGTCCACGATCTGGGCCGATCCGATCCGAAAAATGGATATCCGATCCGATATTTTAGCTTTCGGATATTTCGGATCGGATACCCGAAAAAAATTGGATCGGATATGGATTCAATTTCTGGAATTTTTTCGAATAATCGGATATCCGATTTTTTTTTGCTATATTTTTTTGGAATTTTATGAATATATATTATGACTATATGTTTAAATGTAATTTTATGTTGATTTTGGAACTCAACCATTTTGGACTTTTTGCATTAGCATTTTAGAATTTTTGTTTTAATAGTGTTTTTTTTGTTTGTTTAAGTAAAATTACCAAAGTTACTCCCAAATTAAATTTGGTGCCATTTTTTTATTAGGCCATTACCAAGTGGTGGAATTTTTCTTTTAGTAAATCTATATTGAATTTGATATTTTGGGTTGATTTTTCTATTTTACCTTTTTTTTTTGTAAATTTTGGCTAAAAACTCAACTTCTCGGATAATCCAGTTATCCGATTAGAAAAATCGGATATCCGAATTTCGGATATCCAAATATTTTCGGATCGGATATGGAATGAGTTTTACATGATCCGAAATTTTTGGATATCCGAATTTTTGGATCGGATCGGATCGGATCGATCCGATTGAACACCCCTAGCTCGAAGGACTTACAGTGAAATTGAGCCTTGAAATTATTAAGGCAATTAAATTATTCCCTTCAACTCCTCCCACTTCATTTGAATTTATTTAAATCACTAAGAAAACAAAACGTGTGACCAAATAAAGAACTAATAATGTGGAGTACATGAATAAAAGATAGCAAAAATAAATGCATTCTAAATCTTTTTAACAAATCCTATCTATATCTTTATCTTTTCTGTATATATTAAATTTGAGAGTTAAACTCAAAGAATTGTGACAAGTGGCAAGTCTACATGACAACATTTTAATAAATCATTCGCCACCTATTAATGACTTGAATGATGTGGCAATCTTAATCAAAATATGGATACATCCAATTTAAGTTCTATACAGAGTATATGCCTTATATAGGGAGCGCTGCTATAATTTTTTTGGAAAACTTACCAAAATAAGAGTAAAACATTTAGAATGTATCAAAATAGAAGTTTCATATTTTTTTACCCTAAAATAGGATCTAAATTCCAATAATGTCAATATATAATGCCAAAAAACATTATGAAATAGTAATATACAATCTCACAATTCCAAAGTGCAAATTCTTATTTAGGAAATAAAAACATTAAACTCTTATATTGGAGATAAAAGTTATGTTTTATTCCTATTTGAGGAGATTTTTTTAATTTTGTTTAGAAAATATATACGGAGTAACATTGATAAGGGAAAGTAATTACCAAAAGTCTCCTACACTTCTATTACCTTATATACCTTTTTTTATTTTACAAATCATCATATTTCCTCATAAACTTGTACGAAATCTTTTTGTGTATCTTTCTTTTTTCTTCTACGGAGATCGATGAAATTGTAAAAATTGTTGTGTGATTGATGATGTAGTTGCACTCAATTTGGTAAGTTTAAGGGGAGGGTGGTATTAATAATCCATTAAAAAGGAAATTGATACCATTATTTTTTGCTCAATTATATTATTCTCCAATATTTTTTCCTGAGCTTACCAGAATAGATCTCCAATTTTGTCGATTGGAACTTCAAAATTAATTATTTAGCAACCAAACATGAAGAGATTCATGAGTTTCACACAATACATTTATATCTAAATACTATATATCCTTCTATATATCGAGGTTAAGTACACAAAATTTGACTAAGAAAAGTCCAATGAGAAGATTAAATCCGAACAGAAGGAGTACTATGGAAGAATTTAGAACCTTAACGAAATTATATGCTATTGAGTCAAAAATAAAAATTTATATTTTTGTCTAACATAAAATTACAAAATCAACTTCTAAAATAATCCAAATAATTAGTTAAAATTTTAAAATTAGCTTCTAAAATTATTACTGAAAATTAAAATTCGTATCTCTAATTTATTTATAATTCATATCTCTATCGAAAAATATAACGTGTTTTAATAACACTGCGCCTCAAGTTGGCGCAGGAAGATCGTGAATGCCAACTTGGACAACAAGAACTGGAAAGTGGGCTTAGACAAAGTTGGTATTTACCAAGGTAGACAGCTCTCGGCGCTGCACACACTCGCGAATAATATAACAGTCAATATCAATGTTTGGTCCTATCATGGAAAACAAGACTAGTTGCTATAAACAAGGCAGACTAGTTGTTGGAGAACAGACAAAGTGGACGAACAACGGGTATGCCAAGGGCCTGTAAAACATGATGGATCCAACGTATCTCTGTGCAACTATTAGCCATGGCCACATATTGAGCTTATGTAGACGAATGTGAGACTTATTTGCTTTTTGGTTTTCCACAAAACCAAAGATACACCGAGCATGATAAAATAGCCGCTCACAGAACGACGAGTGAGTGGACATCTAGCCCAGTCGGAATCACAATAAGTGGTGATTTGTAAGTCACTGTCGCACTGCAAGAAAATATCTTGGCCTAGATGCCCCTTAATGTAACTCTATTCACCCCCTCTAGAGTTGCATACTGTGTCTAACATATTTTGTTCCGTGCATTAAATTCCACCCTTTTTCCAAGACTAGGTTGTTGTTGTTGTTGTTGTTGTTGTAGTGGGATTCAACTGGGTTGTTGTTGTTGTTTCCAAGACTAGATGTTACACGTAGGGTGGGTCCGATTTTCACTCAAAATCAAAGACAAAATAAGTTAGTGCTTCGTTTCGCACCAAAAATATGTAAAATCATCCATTATTCCGTTGGGTATTAAAAGTACTAAAAATTGTAACAACACTAACTCGATGAAGCAATAACAAAGTAATTTCTTTTTTGGCCAAAGTAATGTTCTTTTAACAATGTAAATGAATTTATGACGGAAATACTATTTAAAAAAAATTGACCAATAAAAGCAAGAGTAACTTATTATTATTAAAAAAATTGGACATAATAAAAATGAGAGAGAGTTATTATTGTTTAAACACTGATTTATTTGAAATATGGCTTAATTGTATGAAAAAATAGATATATATAAAAATGTAAATAGGGAATGGAAAATAGAAATAAATACATGAATTAACTGTAAAGTTAACGAAAAGATCAACTATGCAACATTGTCGTTATTGGAAGGACTATTCATACACTTTTTAAGGTTGAAGAACTAGCCGTCCATATAACATTAACTTCTTGAAGGACTAACGATATAATTTAGCCTTGAAATTATTGACGCAATTTAATTATTCCCTTCAACTCCTCCCACTTCATTTGCAATTTTTTTTTTTAAAAATCACTAAAAAGACAAAATATGTAACCAAAATATAGAGTAAATAATGCGGAGTACATGATTAAAAGATAGCAAAAGTAAATGCATTCTTAAAAATGTTTTTTACGAATTCTTAGTATACTTCAGTTGAAAACGGCTCGGTTCAGGTTTTCGAAAACCAAAGTCAAAACCAAACCAAAATGGTTTCGTTTGATTTTTTGTATTTGGTTTCTATTTTATAGGTTTGGTTTTTTTTTTGGCAAAATTCAATCGGTTTCAAATCAATTTTTGGTATTCAATTTTTCTGACCGACCCCTAGTAACATGCGACCACCGTAGTTTAGTTTTTTAGTTAAACTATCGATGCATTCCATTCAACTTCTTTTTTCTACTTATTCTTCACTCTTAATAATATTAGATCAAATCAAATTAGATTTGATCTAATTAGATTAGATTCATTTTGATAGGTTCAAATTATTTCTGAAAGATGTTTGTCATCCAAATCTATAGAGACTAAACCAGCTCTAAAGAAGTAATATAATATTTTCCTCAATATTAATTTTGAACAAAAAATTCCAGAATGTGCTCTAGATCGGGTCATTTGACTCAACAGTCACATCAGTTTCTTCAACTTCTTGCTACAGTACTTGCCACCATGTAGGCATGCTATTATATTAGAGTATGCTGTAATTCGTTCTGCTAAATGTGAAGCTTAAGCTTCGTGACAAATTTCCTTGGTTATTAGTACGGAGTAACTTATTTTTAAGGCATCTAATTGCTGATTGCAGCTATCTTCCATAATTCACCCGGTATGAAAGATCATAGAATTACCAATTTTGACCGATTTTGACTAATTTTGACCAAAAAAAGTTAAAACTTGACCCAAAAAAGTCCAAATGAAGGAAACTAAAATTCTACGAGTATAATTTATCAGTTTTGATCGAAAAAAGTTCAAAGTTGACAAATACTCTGAGTTAGATGAAGTAAGACTTAAAATTAAAATTTTAATATAAATTATAAATTTTAGTTTTTTAATATATATTTTTAAATTTTCAATCTTAAAATTGAAAGTTATTTCTTTCTCTCAAAAGACTTTTAATTCAGATTTTAAAGGTTTTACATTTCCTTCAAATTAGAAAACTCATATATCATCATATTTGCAAAGTGAAAAATGCCAGAGGTACACCTTTGGTATACCCCAAATGTAGACCACCCCCTTCAATACCACATATATTGGCAAGTAAAATAAAAAAGAAATAAATATATAAAAAATGGGCTGTGTACATTTGGGGTACACCAAAGGTGTACCCTAGCACCCCCTTGCAAATAGGGTTGTAAATGAATCAAATATTTTTTTGTTCGATTCGTGATTCATATTTGTATGAAGTGATTCTCATTCGATTTGTTTTCAAATCCGAATATGAATGCGAATCTGAGTTACTCCGTATACAAATTCGAATCTCTATTGAATACGAACATGAATCAAGGGTATTCAACTCGTTAGTTTGACAAATATATTCAGAATATAAATTTAATTATAAAAGTTATAAATTTGGTTCTTGGCGAATTACCCCACACCTACCATCTACTAGAAGTGAAGGAAGGCACGAACACAAACCCGCATTCAACATTTCAACGCATCATCTCGCACAGAACGCAAGCTACCTCTCTTCTTCACCGGATTTTCAAGCCCCATCACCTCCGGCCGGAAAGATGGGGATTTCGTGGAGTAAACGTCAGCAGCACCACCACCACCCCCCACCACCGTCTCTCTCGCAACATCCGCAGCCACTACAACCTTCATCTTCATCAAATCATCCTCCGCCCCTTCTGCCGCCTCCGCCTGGACAACCTTGCTTTGCTTATGGAACTAGCCCGCTCTATCCTGCAACTTCCCAGAACCCTAATTACGCCCTGGTCTCCGATTCTTACGCGCCTCACTACCGGCACAATCACACCAACAGGCCGATGATCCCTCATAGCAATTATTACCCCCCTTATTACCTACCACAAGTTCATGGGTGGTCAGGGTTTCACCCCCCTCCCCCACCTTCGGTTCCCATGCCGGCTGTGCCTTATGTAGGTCACCAGAGCGCAAAGAAGATCAAGAATGACATAAATGTGCACAAAGATACTATAAAGCTGGAAGTTGATATGCTCAATAAGGATTATCATTTGGTGTCGTTTACTTTTGATGCATTGGTAGACGGAAGGTAAAATTAAATAATTTTAACTTTTAAAATTGTATATTTGGTTGAGTGGATTGCACAGAAGTTGAGAAAAGAGTTTTTTGATTTAGATTGATTGCTGCCGCTTTTCAGTGGTTTGAATGGGCTAGGTTGTAGGCTAACATTTTCTCTGTTTAGTCTTATCAGTAAGTATATTTAAAGTATGAATTACTGGAGAGTATGAATTAATATAAAAGGGTTGTTTGACTTGCCCTCAAATGATAATCCAAGCCTTTTCTTGGTTCTGATTCACTTAGGTTGATCACATATGGCCAGGTTAAGGCCCAGATGTGTGTCTTTTCAATGGGAAGTGTTTTAAAGTTTAATATTAAGTAATATGAATAGTCACCTTTTTATTTCTATCTTTGAGATGTAGTGCCTGAACCAAACTGAAGAAGCCCAGTCAGTTGCTCTTGGAAGTAAGGTTTTACTGGGTTGTTGTATTCAGTTGTAAACAACTTGTCAAACCAGTTACAGGAAAAGTATTGTAAAATCAAAGGTTTCTTAATGTGTCTGAATGTGTTCTGCCAGTTAGTTTAATTTATTGAGTGCTGGAATGCTAGATTTCTTTAATTTGTGTTGTATGGTTCCTTATGATAGCAGAATGGTCCTATATATATACATCTAGAGTGAAATTTTATTACTCAAGATTATTGTAAACTAAAGTTTGTTGATTTAAGTAACAGTAATGACCCTGTAAATTTAAAATCTGTGCAAAAATTTTTACCCTTTCATTTCTATAGGTGGATATGCATTTTTGGTGCTGATTGCCAGATACTAGGAAAAATTCACACTACTAAATTCATATGTGGTGATCATGTGACACTGACTGCCTGTAGTTCTTTTTATTTGCACTATTGTTGGCTGGCTGTAACTTACATTAGTAAATTCTTATTCACACTAGTGATTTAGTTGAATGTTGTAGTGTGCCATATGCATTAACATGCATTCTTGGAGTGAAGCAGTACTTAAGCATCTTCTATGATGTGTCCTTAAAAGATTTTTTTTTACTTTCAAAATAGATATTTTTTTAGTTTTGTGTAGCTAGTAGATACTATGAAGTTTCTAGGAATTATGTTTGGATGGAAAATCACACATTGGATGTCTCAAATATTGCTCGTTGAAGTGTGTGATCGAAGTTGTTTATATGAAGCAAGGCGTACACGGTACACCTCAAGGCTTTGTAAGGCATAACCCGCAAACTACATGATGTAACTTTTGAAGTTAGAGAAATCTTATACAACAACAACAACCCAGTAGAAATCTGACATAACCCTATGTGAAAGACTAACTTGTCATAAAATGAGATACTCTTCAGGGTCGCTTAGTGGAGCTTATCTGAATTGAACAAACTTGAATGATACTAAACTGAACTGAATGTGATTGATATTGAACTACTAAATGATACTCCTGTTTGGAAATTTTCTTCTCAGTTTTCTTTTTTGGACTGCCAAAATGTTTTCTTCCCATTTCCTTGGCAAAATATTCAGTGTGAAATCTTTTATTTTCCCTTTTCCTCTTTTTTAATTCATCTTTCTTACTCTCCGAGGCTTAATGTTTTAAAGCCCCACCAGCTTCAATTTCTCCCTTTGGAGTAGCTGCCACAGCTTTCTCAAGATCGACCACAACCTTTCTGCCACCACCACTACCTTCATTTTCCTTCCGCTTGCACTACCACCACCTTCTTCTCTCCACCAGTGTTATCAATGGCGCAAATGGCGCGCACCATAGATGCGCCTTTGGCGATCTGCATAGGAAACGCCACAAACTGGGCTGTGGCGGTCGATTGACTCCTGGCAACGCCAAATCTGCGCCATCGCCACGCCATCGCCATTCGTGCGCCATTTTTTATTTTACCCGCGACCCAAATCCAATAAATTAGGCCCATTAAAGAAATTAAACCTTTAATTAGTAGTCTCCAGCCGCTCAATCTTCCCAATCGACAATCGCCAGGCCTTAATTGTCTTCTTCTTCGTCGTATCTGGTCAGACTGCGACTCACCAAAGCCGATTCACGGCACAGGGGAAACATCGGTAATTGACTCTAGTACTTCCTTTTTCTTTTCTTTTTAACCCATCAGTATACTTCATTTTTTTTCTTTTTTTTTTAAGCTTTTCTTCCTTTTTCTGTTTTAAGTCATGCGTAGTACTGTGTATTATAGTTGATTATACTGCCAATGTTTTCAATGGTGATTCACTTTAATATATTTTTGCTTGATTTTTCTGCCATAAATTTTATTTTGGTGTAATTTTTTTGCCATAACTTTTTTTTGTCATAAATTTTTTCCTGACAATTCTTTTCTGCCATAAAATTTTTTTTTGCCTTAATTTCTAGCATAGTACTTCTTGAAGAATGTCTGTCTCTCTAGCTCGGGAACACTGCACGAAGCTCAAACCAAACTTGAGTAATGATTTGGTATGCAATTTTTGTGGTCGTATAAGCAATGGTGGGATTAGAAGATTCAAACAACATCTGATCGAAGGGCATCGTAACACAGTAGAATGTCCTACTGTTCCAGAAGGGTTGAAGACAAGTCTCCGAGACTTAGTTTTGAAAGAGGCGGGATCGAGCATCAACTAGTAATCTAATGGTTCAAGAAGTTGAAGAAGATGAGATATTACCATTATATATTCATATCTTAAATTTTGAGACTAAATTTTAAGTTCTGAGTTTGCTTAAGTTGTTTTACTACTAGCACCTTAGATCGTTTTGGATTTGGAATAACTTCTTATTTGTGTTTTTATTTCCAACATGACTATTTAGATCAAGTACTCTACTATTTTTTATTGCATTCATGTCTTATACCTATGTAAATCTTAGTTAATTATGTTGTGTAACTAGTATCTTGTGGCGACGCCATATTTGCGCCATCGCCATCGCCATGTGATATTGGCCCATCGCCATGAATGTCGCCATGCGCCATGACAACTATGCTCTCCACTGCCGCCATATGGTTTCGACTTAAGATCTCGGCCACCATCTTCTTCCTTCCGCCGCCATGGGTTTCTCACTTCAAATCTCACCATCTTTGTTTTCTTTCTTCGGAGCTGCCATCGCCACCACCATCTTCTTCTTCCTTTGGAGCTGCTGCCATCACCCACTTTCTGTCGCCACCAGCCACCATCTGCCTTCAGCAGCTGCCTAGCTGCTGATCTGATCTGGACCGCAATAGGGCTACAGGAATTTTAGGATTAAATAGTTTACCAGGGTAATTTAGGGAAGTCAACCGAATTTTTAACTCTCTTAAATAAGTGTGCTAAGTCAACACGGGAAGTATATTCCCAGACCGAGGGAGTATTTAACTAGTGAATGATATTGACTACCGAATGATACTCAAGTGAATGATTATTTGAACTGAATATTATTGAACTGATTGTAGTGTACTTTTAAATTTAGCACTACTGAATTGAACTGAACAACCCCTTAAACAACACAACAAGTTTGAAAACATGCTTAAAATAATGCGTTTATAAATGCATAGTTTATTAAACTGTTCACTAAATATTTGATTGTGTCACTTCTTGTTCTTCATAGTTCATATAACTACACTTTTTACTTTTCTTTAATTTTCATGTTCAATTAGTTGAGCTGTGAAGTTCCTTAATTGAAATTAAATTGGTAAAAGGAAGCTAAGTGAAAGGTGAATAAGGTAGTGGACTGGTGGTGGTTAAGGAGAAAGTGTATGAGTAGTTGTGCATGTGTTTAGAGATTAATGTGAGATTTTTTCTTGTGGTTGCCACTGAGGTGATCGAGCCAATAAATGACCTTAGTTCTAGCTGTTTCAATAAGGTGTCAATTCTTGTGGTCGACTACATTTTGTTGAGGAGTTTCTGAACATGAAGACCAAAGACTCATACAGAATCCTAGCTAGGACAAGAAGCAAAATCAGAAAGGGCTTTGAGTAATATTCTAATGACATACTCCCTCCGTCCCAAAATGAAGGTTATTTTAGGTGTTTGTTCTAAACTTTGACCATTATTTTCTCTTTAGATTACGAATTGCACAAAACAAAGGAAAATTCCAAGTTTTTTCAAATCATTTTATTAAAGATCGGATCAAAAATAAAAAATAAAACTTGCATATTCAAAAACTATATCAAAAGTTCTACAAAACAATAGGTGACTAGAACATTTTATTTTGTCAAATAATCAATGAAAGTGCATAAATAATCAAAAGTTGTGGTGATTTTGGAATAGTGCACATTGTAATCAATTATGGGTTGGTGGGAGTATTGTTTAATTTATCATGAAAAATAGTTTCATAATTTGTAAATATTATGATTTTTTGTTACGTATTTTAACAAAAATTTTAAAGACTCATATGGAACCCTAGCTAGGACGAGAAGTGAAATCAGAAAGGGTTATGAGTAATATTCAAATAACATACTCTCACCGTCCCAAAATGAAGGTTATTTTAGGAGTTTGTTCCAAACATTGACCATTGTTTTCTCTTTATGTACAATTGTATAAAGCCAAAAATTTAACTTTTATATTGTTTAATTTTTCATGACAAATAGTTTCAGAATTTGTAAATGTTTTGATTTTTTGTCATGTAGTTTAATAAAAATTAATGCCAGAGTAGTCGAATTTCTGTAACATAACTTGAGAACCATTTTGAAAGTTAACAAGGCCTTTTAGGGAAATAGTAAGTTGTCCAACTGAAATCAAATTGCATGCACATTCAGGCATATATAGAAGTATAGAACAGAGGAGAATGGTAAGAATGGTGATATTCCTGTGGGTATAGTGATATACATTGAGAACCATCCCCAAAGTTAACAACATGGCATTTTAGGGAAACAGTAACTTGTCAAACTGAAATACACTTGAAAGGACATTCAGGAATATATAGAACAGAAGGAAATGATAGGAATGGTAAAATTTATTGTAGCCCTCTACTTTGATAACCATACCTAAATTTAACACAATGAAGATCTTCGCAGTAGGTAACATATGGATGAAAAGAGAAGCATTACCAGAGAGGTGACCTAAAGCTCCCCCAAACTGAGTTACCCTTTAAAGCAAGAGTATTGTGCTAGTTTACAGGGTGACAGAAGTTCTAGCAGTTTTTGAGAAGTGAACATGTCATTTTTGGGAAGTAGTATCTTGTCAAACTGAAATCAAATTGATAGGATATTCAGGAATAAATAGAACAGAGGGCAATGATAGGAATGGTGAAACTGTAATGTTTCCAATCCTGTATCCCCTCAACTTTGAGAACCGTCCCCAAACGTAACACAGTGACTATCTTTGGAGAAGGTAATATATGGGTGAAAAGAGAAGCATTACCAGAATGGTGACCTCTAGCTTACCGAAACTGAGTTACCCTTCGAAGCAAGAGCAGTGAATGTTGTCAGGGTGGCATATGATCTTGAAGATTTTGAAAAGTTTCTACTGGATAACTCTCTAGTATTTGAATCTTCCAGGGTAGGATTTTTTTATCTTTGAAAACCATGCCTGAACTTTTTAACCATCATGGCCTTGTAATGTAAGCAAAGCATTAATTCCCATATAAGCTAGGAATACTTTTTACACTGTATTTTAAGGGAGGTTATTCCATCTTTACTCTTTACAACCACAAGCAATGAGCTTTTTTATATATCCTATGAAGGATTACAAGCTATGCAAATGGCCATAAGTTGAAACTGTTTTAATGTCAAAAACTGTCTTCTTGATTTTAAATATGGTAACACGTGGCTTAGATAATTACAACACACACCTACAAACACAGTGGAAGAGATGAATATGAATTATGTTCAGAATAACAGTGTGGACATGTTTTATTGTTGTGACCAAGCAGTGTGTGTGTGTGTGTGTCTTTGTTTCCATGCCTTGTTTTTTTTTTTGCTTTTCATCAACTTTTGATGTGTGACATTGTGATTACCCATCCTAGCATCTGCTCCAGCCTTCAAGGCACTACATGATCTTTCTACTTTTGTCTTTATTACCATGTCCAAATGCGCACCAATTTGCTAGTTTGCCTTCAACATTTTGTTAATGTAGGGATTGCTGAGAACATTAAACTTCCCTTTCTTCTTTCTTTTAATGAAGTTTAGGGTAGTAAATGTGGCATTGATTCAAGGCCTCTTTGTTTTTTACTGGAGCAAGACTGCCTGCCT